AGAAGAAGAAGAAGAAGAAGAAGAAGAAGAAGAAGAAGAAGAAGAAGAAAAAGAAGAAGAAGAAGAAGAAGAAAAAGAAGAAGAAGAAGAAGAAGAAGAGGATGACCACCTCATAGACACAGGAGCTACTGCATTACTCTGTGAAATTGACAATCAAATAACTGAGTCCAAATCTTACCGATTCTTGAACGCGGTTCTGGGGATCTGGTGTCCGAACCCGTGGGACCGGATCCGGGCGACCTGTGTGACTCCGTTGTACCTGAGCTGTTCTATGACCCGGTCCCGCAAGAACCGGTCTGAGGTCAGCCGGTCGTTGGGTTTGATGCATCTGGAGAGAGGATGGAAGTGTGACAGTATTTTGTGTTTTTTTGGGGGGTGGGGGTTGGTAAGTGTTTTACGGTGATCGCAACTGTACAAGGTCATATGAGCGCGCTGAAACATTATTTATTTTCAGTTGGAAGGAAGTTTTGAATTTTGCCCGGGTGGCAGAAGAAAATTGCTCTTATTGATTCTGGACCACCAAGAGATCTTTAACGTGCACATGCGACGTCCAAGATTTTTCGCCCTTATCCGAGAAGGCTAGGTGTAGAAGATCCTTCCTACCAGAAGATCAGGGTTTTGGCTGAAAGACAGCAGTAAGAAGGAGCAATGGGGTAGCAGTAAAAAGCTACAGAAAGAGTAAGGAGCCCAGAAGAGGCGGCAGAGGAGATGAGGGGGTGACAGATTGACAGACAAACAGACATATAGACAGACAGACAGGGAAATGGGTGATAGAGAGAGAGAGAAAGATAAAGACACAAACTACTAAACGTATAGACCTATATACCCAGTGCACATAGACGGATCATTTCTCTAATACAAACCGATCGCCGACTGATCGCCCGACTCGCGACTTTGAAAACCAACACGTTTGTTTTTTTCAGGCCTCGCGTCGGGCGATCGGTTTGTGCCACGTTGGTCGCTTTTAGCTCTCAATCTGGCTATCCCCGCCTACCAACCCGATCCAAACCGATCCGATCCGAACCGATCCGATCCGATCTGAAAAGAACATATCGTGCCAATGGGAACTGGGTTTACCTGACGAAGTAGGCTGTTGCGCTCTGCATCTCCCGGAGAAGGTCATTCAGAGAATTCTGCACAAACAACGGCAAAGCATGATTAATAATTAAAATCAGACGCTCGTCAAAATAATGAAAGTGAAGAAACTGGCATGCTACGTATCCCAAGGATAGCTAGAAAAACAAATGAAGAAGTCTTGGTTGAAGTAAATTGCAGAAGACAGCTTAAGACAAATATAAGAAGGCGACAGGCAAATTTCTTCGGACACACAATGCGGAAAGAAGCATTAGAGAATATTGTAACAGGCAAGTTTGACGGACAGAGAGGCAGAGGCAGACAGAGGGGAAAAGATACTTGACAAGATGACAACATGGCTAGGAGCAGCAAGAACAACAACAGACACCATATTATTTATATATTATTTATTAATTGCTGCAACGCAAGACAGAGTGAAGTGGAGGTCCATGATCGCCCACGCCAGTCGGCAAGGCACCGGATGATAATGATGACAATAATGATAACAATAATGATGGGTACTGTTGACACGTGTTTTTTTCTTTTTTA